AAAATATTATAAAATATTATAAAATATTATAAAATATTTTAATAAATAAGCAGGGCTCTAGAAAAAATTGGGATTTTGCAGGCATCCAGTCTGGAATGCATTGAAGTGTCTGCCCTTCCCCCACCTCAGCTAGACCTTTCAATTCCAATTTGCTAATTTGGGAATAGAGCAAAGAATTTGGAGGGAGATAAGGAACTGTCTGTCTCTTTAAGAAGAAACTACAAACACAAGGAAGCAAATGTACTGTAGGAGACTCTAAGAGGTTAAACAGTGACAAAAATGCTTGGCTGTCATTGGAGGTGGTGTGAGGAGTAAAACAGGCCATTGTCCACTGGTGGGAACCAAGCTGCAAATCCGAATTCATGGAAACTGGTCTCCAGAGTGAGTAGACCCTCGGTATTCTTGGTTGAGAAATCGCCGATATTTCACCCATTTTAGAGTGCACCTCAGTCCCAGTTAGACTTGCATCCCTTGGTTATTACTTGATACCATTAAGTAGACATCATACTTACTTTGAATATAACGTATTGGATTTTTCTTATTAAAAATCTCCTTTTAATGTTTCACTGTTTGCTAGGCTTAGTTATATGTTTGTAAGATACATTCATATTCAGACACATACATACACACATACATTTCTGGGGCTGAAATAAAATAGATTTTTCACCGTTTGCTATGGGGGAAAACCCATATATGTGTATGGAAGAACACAGATCTTGCTGGGATATCCTAGTTGAGTGAAGCGGGTGCCCATGAACCAGATGTGGTGTTTCCGAAATGAAACGCGACTTAAAGGACTGATTATGTGAAACACAACTGCAGTTTGCTTTCCCACAGACGTTCGCGGTGGTTAATGGAGGGAGGGAGGGAAGGCGAAGAATGATGTTTTCAAGCCCTCCAGCCAGGGCGGTATAAACACAAAAGGCATCCTCCAGCCTCACGCACGAGGGGACACGGAGTGGGGTGTGGGGTGGCAGAGGATGGGCCAGAGGAGCTCGGTACACTCCCCACGCAGCCCGATTTCCTCCGGTGCCATCGCCTGGACCGTTCCAGCTTCCTATGGCCAAAGCTGACTTGATTGATTTAAAGCAAAACAGACACAAAGAAAGCAAGGAAGGGGATGCGGGGGGGGGGCGGGGGGAGATAAAAGTGCCGTAAGGAACAAGAGGTCCAATCTTAGGAGTTATGTCCTCCATTGCGCAGTGCACCCTCCCCCCAGCACCCGATTGGATCACAGGTCACAAGAGGAGGTGGCACACTCCTTTTTGAGCTTAGAGGTGGCTCTGAAAAGAGCCTTTGGGTTCGGAGCGCCAGGGACGCGCCTCACTTGGAGCTGGTGTACTTGGTGACGGCCTTGGTGCCCTCCGACACAGCATGCTTGGCCAGCTCCCCGGGCAGCAGCAGCCGCACGGCCGTCTGCACCTCGCGGGACGTGATGGTCGAGCGCTTGTTGTAGTGCGCCAGGCGGGAGGCCTCGCTGGCGATGCGCTCAAAGATGTCGTTGACGAACGAGTTCATGATGCCCATGGCCTTGGACGAGATGCCGGTGTCGGGGTGCACCTGCTTGAGGACCTTGTACACGTAGATGGAGTAGCTCTCCTTGCGGCCGCGCTTGCGCTTCTTGCCGTCCTTCTTCTGTGCCTTCGTAATGGCTTTCTTGGAGCCCTTCTTGGGGGCTGGAGCTGAGCGAGAAGGCTCCGGCATGACGAGGTGGCGACTGAACGGACTGGGATGGTAATGCGTGGAGAGCAGGGCTATTTGTCATCTTTATATTCAAATGAAGGCTCCAAATCTCTAGCATCTGATTGGACAGCCTGTAGCCGCGGCCGAGACCACGAAGACTTTATGTAAATGAGAGATGCCGATTCTTCTTTCCTATTGGACCATAGTTCAACCAATCCAAAAGCGCATAGGCCTTGCGCCTGCGCTCAGGTTGTGTGTCTTTGTTCAAACCCTTTGTTTTAAACCCAGAGGAGATCTTAGGGTACTCTGCGTATCTGGGCTTGGCTAAAAGGAAAATGACAACCTCGGGTCTGTTTTCTCTGCTATGAGGCAAATACGCAGGCAACAGCTAGAGAGAGAAAGCTTGATGCTTTTCCAGCAAGACGGAGGAAATGGCAGCTCCCACTGCAGTAACTGTTTATTTTCCTCATTCTCGCAGCCCTCTATAGACCAAAGAGATGCACTCCTTTTAGAATTCAAGAGCGAGGCCCGGGGCGGGGAATCAAGAGCAAATCCAAACGTTTCTTTGGGAAATACTGAGAATGCACTTAGGTACTTCCATCGGAAGTGTGTAGCCAGACAGTTTTAACCGTGGAGAAGAATAAAACGTCAGTTTTTCATATTGTTTTGTTATTATTGTCCACGAAAACCCTGAGGTGTCAACCAGATTGCTATATGCTTGAAACTGGGATTTCACCAGTGTCCTAACATCTCCAGGGGCAGGCACGATTACTGTTGATTACTGTTACACTGTAATAGGCTTAGGGCACCGATCCCGGGTGCCTCCCCTACTACAGTGCCTTCCAGTAGAGAAACAAGGTGTTACACATTCCTATTTCTCACTTATTTCAGCATCTTCTGGACAGCTGGCTAGAAAAACAGAATCTTAGGCGCCCCCCACCCCCCAAATGGATGAGTCAGATCCCATTTTAGAAAGATCCTTGCACGCGTTATATACAGCGAGAAGTCCTGCGCTGGAAGCCATTTAGCTGCTCTACCTCGGGCATTTAGCTGCTCTACCTTCTTCGCACCTCCACTTCTTCATCTTTAAAATGAGGTATCAGTGGGCTTGCTGTGAGTTAATGTGCCGGAAGCAGCTTGCAGGGTGCCCGCAAGTGTGTTTAATTCTTTCCTTCTCACAAGCCATCCAGCCAGCAACAGCTTGGGCCGCCCCTCCAAGCTCCTCTTCCGGTTCTAGTACATTCACGCATAGCACGAGCCTTTTTCTTTCCCGCTGCAACACCGACTCAGCTGGGATCATCAGGGCAAAGGTGTGCCTTTCACCTCCTCATCTCCAGGTAGAACACAGCGTGGCACCTGACAGATGCCAGTCAGATCATGGGAAATGAACAATCCTGCTAGCCTGGCAGCGCCCTCTACGGTAGGTTGTTCTGTTGGCTGAGGTTCCCAGGGGCATCCTGTGCTCTTGGGCTTCCCGAGCTGCTGTGCCTATTCTCAGCATATTGTTTCCTCTTAAAAACAAACAAACAAACAAACAAAACCCCCCAAGAATTTAATATATAATAAAGATAGCATCACAACTCAGTGGAGAAAAAAATGGCCCAATTGTGTCAGAAAATGTATTAACTACTTGGGGGAAAATTAATTATTCTCAGCTAGAGGAAAGGCTTTCAACGTATTTTTAAAATTATAGAACTATGACCTTCCACACACAAAACTGGGGGTAAAATTATTTGCAATAGGAGACAAACAAAATATTAATATTCTTAATATAATAAAAAACTTATTAGTAAAGAAAAAACATTTTACAAAATAGTAAACTAGACTATGAAAAGACAACATGAAAAACATTAACTTCACTAATGTCAAAGGGATGCATATTAAAAATGATAGCTGAGTGCAAAGGGGGACTCCTGAAATACCAGTGGCTCAGGAGGCTGAGACAGGAGGATCACAAGTTCAAGGCCAACCTCAGCAACTTATCCAGGCCCTAAACAACTTATTGAACCCAGGGGTGCTTAACCACTGGGCCACATCTCAGTGTTTAAGCACCCCTGGGTTCAATCCCTGTTACCAAACAACAACAACAAAATGAGATATCACTTTTCACCTATTAAAATGATGAAAATAAAATATACACTATGCAGTGCAGGCATACACTTTCCTTCATACATTGCTTGAAAGAAAAAACAAGGTGGCAATCTATTCCAATATGTGTCTACATTATATACTTCCTTCCAGAAATTCCACTGTCAAGCATCAGTCTCTTAAGGAAATAAACATGGCTGGGTGGGGGGGTGGGCTGGGGGTTGTAGCTCAGTGGTAGAATGCTTGCCTCTCATGCGTGAGGCCCTGGGTTTGATCTTCAGCACTGCAAAAGAATAAATAAATAAAATAAAGATATTTAAAAAATAAAATAAACATGCTGGAACAGAGCTTGGCAGGAAGCTCCATCAACAGCATCCATAATAAGAAAAAAATAGAAACAACCTTGAATCACAGCCCACTTTAACAATGAATGTCATGAATTTACTGAATATTTTAAAGACTATTTAATGATGAGGTAATAATATTCATTAAATAAACACAGCAGTAAGGAAGCCTGCCTTGCATGCTTCTCCCAGGGACCACCACAATGTAAGTTAGAGGATGTAACTGAAAAGGGCCCTTCCAGCTTCCACAAGGCCCCCTTCTGCTCCAAGCCCCTGCTCCAGGCCTCCAGCTGAGGCCTTTCTCAGGACTCTTACCTATTCCCTCCCCTGCCTTCCTTTGTTACTGGACCCTAGTGCAAACACTTGACAGGCACACTTGCATTACCTTAAAAGACAGCTTTCCCACAGTACCTATCAACTGGTTTTGCTCCCCCAACACCTCTCTTAGGAAATGAGCTGTTTCTCCAACCCCTACCTCCATTCCTCAAAGCTTCCATTATTTCCTGCATATGATAGGCACTCAAATGATCCAGTAGTATAAATCTAAATCTGATAAGAGAAATCAAAATACTGTTTCAGAACTAGACAGGTTACTGTGTGCTTTCATTTCCTTCAAATTTTCCTCCATCTTTTCTAGAACAAATTCATATCATGCGTGCTTTTATAATAAAAAGAGGATAAACAACCAGAACCATATTCTTGTTTCTGTTTTAACTGGCTCCTCAGTCAAGATTAGAGATGTGCATGCTTGCCCTGGGATCATAAATGAAACTCAGTTGTATGATTTCCATATATTTTGGAAAATGTTTAGGACCTGTGGAAGATTTGGTGGTATTATTCCTCCTCACCAGTGGCCAGCCAAATACATAGAAGGTTTAGCTGTGAGGAGTTCTGCTGATTCTACCTGTGACTTTTCAGGGCTTATCAGTAGATCTGCCAGATGTTCTCAGGTCTACCAGGGCTGGTCCAGTTCTGTGATGTAATCCATTCAAAGCTCAGAATCTACAGGTTCAAACTCTCAAAGTGCTCCCCAAATAGCCTCCTAAGTTCACCACCTTGCCCCAGTATGGCCCCATATACTGGGGGGACTGGGTTGCTAGGACTGAATTGTGGTACCCTGAAATTCATAACTATTAGCATGACTTCCCACACCTGAAAACAAGCTTGTACTTGGAGATATGACCATTAAAAAGGAAATAAAAAGCACCTTAACCTCATGGTACTGGGGTCCTTTCAAGAATATATTAGGACACACATGCGCGCGCGCGCGCGCGCGCACACACACACACACACACACACACACACACAGCAAGACTATAGGAGTCAGGAGGAGGACATTCATTTGTAGCAGGAGGCATCAGGAAGAACCACCTTCTTACAAACACCATGATTTTGAACTATCAGAATTATGAGAAAATAAATTCTAGTTCTTAAATGCATTCTGGGTCCTAGTATTTTCTTGGATAACAATTAGACATAAATTATAGAGGAAAAAAAAAAAAAGAAAACAGAAGAGAAAACAAAAAGAAGTCTAAGACAGTAATATATGGCATCTAAAAGACTGAAAAAGTACCAAGCAGGACACTTTAAGCTACTGATTACATTAGATTTGTAATCAAATCTCATGCAAAAATCTCATGCAAAGCTGAGATTCCACCAGGAATCGGAACAGAGAATCAGCGCTTCATTGAGGACATTATCAACCCAAATCCAGAATCCTGTCAAAACTAAACCTATGGGCCTTGTCAGTTATTCCCCTCAGGGTCCTGTCAGTCCTCCCCTCAGGGTCCTATCAGTCCTCCCCTCAATGTACCCTCAAGTCCTCCCCTCAGGGTCCTGTCACTCCTCTCCTCAGGGTCCTGACCCTCCTTCCCCTCAGGGTTCTGTCAATCCTCCCCTCAGGGTCCTGTTAGTCCTCCCCTCAGGGTCCTGTCAGTCCTCCCCTCAGGGTCTTGACCTTCCTTCCCCTCAGGGTCCTCTCAGTGCTTTGTAAGGGTCGTTAATTCTTCTGGTTAAGGCATTGTGATTTCTTCACTTTTGTACTTTTTGTGGAAATTCCAAGTAGTTCTAGTCAATCCTTTAATTATGTCTTTTTGATTTCTTTGTGTTTGGAAACCCCAGAGGTATATTTTGGATTTTTTGTTTCTTAGTTTATGGAAAGGGCATTTTTTCTTTTTATTGCTTCTGAAATATTTTGAAAATTGGTGTTTTTATTAAAATGCCAAATTTGGTAATTGGTTTTAATGTAGTTTTTTAACGTCAAAAGTTTGAAAGTATGTCAGGAATTTTCATTATATCTGGTGTTAAAGTCAACTCATCATTTATCTTTTTTTAGTTAGCCATTTATTTTGAAAAATTCATTTCTCTCCCTTTTCAATGTGATGTTTGGGATTGGGGCACTTTCTCTTACTTGTTGGCAGTGATTTTGGGGACAGCCTGAGCTCCAGAGTGTCTGGATGTGGATAATGCCTGTGGATGGCCTGTGCGGCCTCCTGGACCTGGCGGACTCTTTAGCTCTCCTCAAGTCCCTCCCAACCTTTCCTCTGCCCTTCATTCCTGCTAGGGTTTGAATACTGTCTGTCCCCACTGAAGTGCAGGTTGAAATCACCATTAACAAATAGTAGAAGCTGGGTCCTTTGAGAGTGATTAGGGCTCTGATCTCTTGATTGGATTCATCTGTCCTTCTTTAGAGAGAGAGAGAGAGAGAGAGAATTTTAATATTTATTTTTTGGTTTTTCGGTGGACACAACATCTTAGTTTATATGTGGTGCTGAGGATCGAACCTGGGCCGCACACATGCCAGGTGAGCACTTGAGCCACACCCCCAGCCCTCATCTGTCCTTCTTTAATAGATTAGGATTGCTATGGTTTAGATATGAGGGGTCCACCCAAACTTGTGTATAAGACAATGCAATAATTTACAGAGGTGAAATGATTTGATTATGAAAGTCGTAAACTGTCAGTGTATTAATCCACTGATGTAGATTAATTGAACAGCACTTGTAGGCAGGTGAGATGTGGCTGAAGGAGGTGGGTCACTTGGAGTGTGACTTTGGGATTTTTATTTTGTCCCTGATTAACGGAGCTCTCTGCTTCCTGATTGCCATGTTCTGAGCTGCTTTCATCCTCCATTCCCTTCCACCCGGATGTTCTGCCTCACATTGGGCCCAGAGCAATGGAACCAGCTGTCTATGGATTAAGACCTCTGAAACTATGAGCCCAAATAAAGGTTTCCTCCTCTATGTTGTTCTTGTAGGGTCTTTTGGTGAAAGTGATGAAAAAGCTAACTAAAACAGATGACTAATGAGTCATCTTGGGAGTGAGTCTTCAATAAAATCCACTTTGGTGGGGTTTCTCCTGTGCTCTGTATATGATAATCCTCTGTTGCCCTGGGATTCTGTCAGTAAGTGCATCACCAGATGCAGTCTCTTGACCTTGGACCAGAACCATGAGCTCAAATGAACCTTTGTTATTTCTTTATAACTCTCCAGTCTTTGGTATTGTTTCAACAGCAATGAAGCCAGATTTAAAATTAGGTAGTCAGTGTAGTTAGGTAAATCGGGTCTAATATTATATCGAGTGAAATCTAAAATGGAGGCCATGCTGATATTGATTCCAAAAACGCAGGACAACTCACGGAATGTTAATGAAAGGCCCTAGGTCAAAGTCCACCCCCAAAGAAATGTTAATGGAACCCAGGAAACAGCCCCCAACAGATTTGGAGATAGCCCATCCCAAAGAAGTGATAGTGAAGTCCTTCCTGCCCAGATTACTTGTTTGGCCCACCTGTGTCCCAACTCTTCCCCTTTACATTCCATCAGCAAAACTATAAAAAGGGGAACACATTCACCTTCAACGAATTCCACCTCTTGGGTCCCCTTCTTCCCCCGGGAGAAGTCTTTTCTGCTGTCCTTTAATAAACTTCTAATTTCTACTCTGACCTTGCCTCGGCATGCTTCTCTGGTGTTATTCTTCAACATTGGGGAAGCAAGGACTCGTCACCGGTCAACAGCGGTAACAGCAACAGAAAACAGTTTATTGTTGTAGGTCTGCATAGTCGAGATATGCCCAGCATCCACCCTTTGTATGTTGGTGCTAGTCCCCACCCCAGATGGGAGGTCTGGCACTGAGTTCTCAAGCTCTTTCTGTGGTCACAAGAGATGACTGCTATGACCGGCACAATACCTACCTTTTTTTTTGGGCCAGACATTTAGAAGATAGGAGCTCTTATTTGCTAGGCTGGGGTGACTGTAAATGGAAGTCCATATAGCCAGTGTCTATGGGGAGACAACCACCTGGGGAGGAGATTGGAAGGAGGAGGAGGTGCATGTCCTAGTGTGTGGGGATATTACCAGGCCCCCACAGCTCCCTCCACCAGCAGGTCTTGGGTTGTGATGGTCTTTCAGGTGTCTAACCCTTCCTTTTTTCCATGTGCTGCTGTTTCCAGTGTGCTCCTGTCACCTGCATCCAGTGGTCCTGATGCATCAACTTGAAGCTGAAATTTGATTCCCTAGAAATGTTATTTGGGCCACTTTGTTCAGATATGACAGAGATGTGTCTGGAAGTGGATTGAATCAACCCATTCCTGTCGCATCCTGGATTTTTAAACCATGGGAAAACCTGAATAAACTTTCTAGCTTCACTTGTTTGTAGTTTCTTGCTTTTAGTTGACTTTAAAAATCACTAATTCTAGCTGGGCACTGTGGCGCATACCTGTAATCCCAACAGCTTGGGAGGCTGAGGTAGGAGGATCGCAAGTTGAAGCCAGCCTTAGCAACTTAGTGAGGCTATAAGTAACTTCATGAGTCTCAATTTAATACATGAAAAAGACTGGGGATGTGGTTCGGTGCCCCTGGGTTTAATCTCCAGTGCCGAATAAAAACAAAACTCCTCCTAAATCTGGTGGTCACACAGCTGGGCAATACGCTGTTCCCACCGACTGCTGTGGATGGTACCGCTGGCCTGTGGGTCATGACGATGAGGGTTGCCGAGGTACTCTACACCCATGGAAAACTTTTGACATCAGGAAGCTGGAATCTCCACCTTGTGGTACACTAGCACGGCTATTTCTGAACACATGTCCCATGAACTACCGTGAAGATTGACTACATATGTGCAGACCAATGACCTTGTCTCCACTCATCTTTCCCCACACCTTGGACCACCCTACTTCCCTATCTCATTTATATCCTCAAGTCCTATCCTAAAGAAGGTTGATTGGAAACTTGATGTCCTGTCTTCATACTTGGCTGTCTCATAAATGCCGCACAACCTGCCATTCCAGTGATCGGCACACTGTGTGGCAGGCAAAATGGCCCTGGTGCAGGGTGGTTTTTATTTGTTGTTGTTCATTTTAATTTTTTTGGTGTTGAGGTTCAAACCCAGGGCCTTGTGCATGCTAGGCAAGTGCTCTATCACTGAGCTATAGTGATAACAGCCTTGGTAATAATTTGAGCACTATGTTGGATCTGGCCATGGTGGTCCATGTAACTCAGGCAAGCTTAGGAGTGCCTAATGAAAATCAAATTAGGAAACCAGATAGAAATTTCAAATTTTATATATGTGTAGAGATTGTCAGTATCTGCAATATCTGCTGGGCACTGTGGTACACACCTGCAGCGGATGGTTCCAGGGCCTTTAAGGATACCCAAACCCCAGAACACTCAAGTCTTCATGTAAGAGCTCATATTTTCAGGTAATGTGTACATTCTTTCATATACTTTAAATTTCCAGATGATTTGTAATATCCATTACAATGTAAATGCTACCTAAATAGTTGCTGTACTGCATCCTTTAACTGTAAGAACAAAATGGGTACATGTTCACACTCAATTTTTAAAAAAACAATCTTGATCTGTGGTTGATCAATTTCACAGGGAAGTTGATCAATTTCACAATTTCATCCCTGAGAAGAAGGATGAAACCCTGCGTACTGAGGGCATGAACATATGGCTGTGCCCACTGTCCTTGCTCCCAACACTCTCCCACCACCCACTGGCAACCACTCTGTGCACAGAGGACCCATGGGTCCTCCATGGATGGGTCCAGTACCTCCAAGGATCCCAAAGCCCTCAGATCTCAAGTCCCTTATATAAAATGGCATAGTATTACATAAAATTGCACATGACCTACACAATCCCCAGTGGACTTTGAATCATCCCTAAATGACTCTTAACATCTAATTCTATGTAAATATTATTAAATAGTTGTCTTGCTGCATTGTTTAGGGCATAATGAAAAGAAAAAGTCTATACATGCTCACTACAGCGGTAGCTATTGTAGGGTAACTACATGGTACATGTTAACAAGGTTACATTAAAAAAAATAATCTCAATCTGCAGATTCAGAGCTTCCTTCATGGTTGTAGAGAACTGACTCTATTTGTATGACATGCTTTTCGGGTGAATTCTTGGGAAATGTGTGCTGTTTCGTGTGCGCATTGCCCGTTTTCCACTTGCAGGAGTGCCACATCCTGTCATTTGTCTCTGGCTTTCTTCACTCTGTACTGTCCAGTCTCTACAGGTGTATCTGTCACTGTAGTGCACCATCTTCTGTGGAATGTGGCCCCCTGCTGGTGTGTAGAACTTCCACTAGGGTTACCCTCTACATTAGAAAATGCACTCCACAAACATATCACTCGACTAAGGTGTGGCTTCATGACTTTCTGTAGTTAGAACTTACTTCTAATGGTCTATTTTTTGTTGCCTAAGAACCCAAACCAAACCAAACCAACCAAACAAACAAAAAATACTTCAGGGGCTGAGGTTGTAGCTCAGTAGTAGAGCACTTGCCCAGCACATGTGAGGCACTGGGTTTGAACCTCAGCACCACATAAATATAAACAAATAAAATAAAGGCATTGTGTCCATCTACAACTCAAAACAAAACAAAACAAAACACTTCAGCTGGGCATGATGGATCATAAATTAGAGACCAGTCTCAGAAACTTAGCAAGACCCTGTCTCAAAAAAAAAAAAAAAAAAAAAAAAAAAAAAAAAAAAAAAAAGACGGGGAGGGGGATGTAACTCAGTGGCAAAGTGCTCCTGGGTTCAGTCCCCAGCAGAAAAAAAAAGACTTTATCACACTATGAGATTTTTTTATAGTTCTCAATGAAACCCCCAAACATTTTACATGAATCAATTTAAATTATTATCTTGGGAAGAAAGATGCTCAGCATCCAGCACAATTTTGTGTGAGGGTCTGACTGCATTATGTCCTCAACTCATCAATCACATGGCTCCCTGAAGCAGTATCTGCAAAATCAGATACTTTTTTGGTGAGGTCTGTGTACTTAATAGTAAAAAAAAGGAGTCTCATTTTATTTTCCTATTTCTTAGTGTGTACATTTTTCTCCTATGTATTCAATCATTTGTGTTTTTTGTTTTTTTTTCCCTATGAACTGGGAAATCCCACTTGGGATGTCTCTCCATTGCACCCTTCCTTACCAAATTTATGAACTATGCAGATTTGTGGCTAGGATTTTCCTAGTTTTGCTGTTTGTGTTTGATTATCATTCCTGGTTATTATTATTATTATTACTTTTGGTCACTTACACTCTCTAATGCAGCTTACTCAATTTTTAAAATAAGTCTTAACTAAGTTCCTTTTATTTGCTCTTATGTTAATATTTTAAGTTAAATATTATGCCAACCAGAAGAGCTAGTTAAGAACTAGCAAGGAGTTCCCACATATTTCCCCAAACTAGGGACCTCTACAGAGATTTTCTCACTTCTCGCTTGGTAACTGCAATGCCTGCACTGTGGTTAGGTACTGTGAAACAGGCATCTACAAATGGCTTCCACTTCTTGGAAAGGCAGTTTCACAGACAACATAAAATTCCTCTCATAGTTGTCCCTTTGATTCAGGAACTTGACTTTTGTCAGTTTTCTGGTTTAACTACATTTATTTATGCATTTGCTTGGTTTCATGCTATCTCCAGACTTTCCCGGTTCAACAGACAAACCAGGCTGGACTGGAAGCCTTCTAACCACCCTACACAAAACTAACTTGAGTTTGCTTTTCAACTACTTTCAACTACTCATGTAATGCCTTTGCAAAAGGACACCATATTTAAAAACACACCTCAAAGATACAGTGATATATCTGAATAACTTTCACTTGTATGGAATAAAAAATTTTTTAAAAATTATTTTTTAGTTGTAGTTGTCAATACCTTTATTTATTTTTTTATGTGGTGCTGAGGATCGAACCCAGGGCCTCGAAGGCACTACGCGAGTGCTCTACCTCTGAGCCACAACCCCAGCCCGAAATTAACGTTTTTAAAACTTAAAAAGTATGTAGTTTTAATTTACATCTTTTCAAAAAAATGTGTTTGTTTAAAAAAAATAGATTGCTTCTCTCAAGTTGATGTTTTGAAAAAGGACAAAAGACCTCCTTCCTTCTTGAATCAGAAAGCTTCCTTATGGTCAGAGTCCTCCATGCCAGGGGTCAGGCCCCTGGCAGACAGTGGACACCAAGGTCGGCTCCCCAGGGGGCCAGAAGAGAGGCCCGACAACTAACGTCCCTGCAGGACTGGTCCACGCAAGAAGGTCCTAAGCAGTGCAGGTGTATGGAAGGTGTGTCCATGCAGGGTAAGAGTCCAAGAAGAATGGAAGGATGTCCACGCGGGACAGGTACATGCGGAGACCTGTGCAGCAAGGAGTGCCCGCCCGGGCAAAGTCCTCAAAGGGCAGTCCACAAGGGACTATTCACAAAAAACGGGTCTGCGGAGAACCGGTGCAGGCGAGGAGGGCCCGCCCAGGAAAGGCTAGGCAGGAAGGGGCAAGTGGAGCATAGCAGGCAGGACAGGGGCACACAGGATAGGTGCAGGAGAGGAAGGCCCTTCAGGAAAGGTGCTCTCAAGACACATCCACGGGGGGGGGGGGCAGATGCGCTCAGGGTGGGTCGGAGCAGAACTCAGGCCTTGAAAAGAAGACCGTGCGGGTCGCGTGCGCTAGAGGAGGGAGCGTGCAGAGCGAGTTCACCAAGGGCACATCTCCAGGACCCGTGCTCTGGGGCCAGGCCCACGAGGGTCATTTTCTGGCCTCGCCCCCACCCACACGTGGGCGTGGAGCCCCGGGAAGGAACTGGTGGCCCAGGTCCTAGCAGCTTACAAAAAAGGCTTTTTTTAAAAATGGAATCTTCCAGTGATAATATGTTGTTTCCCTTTCGCCCACTATTCGTCTATGCAAAAGTGACAGTCTTATTAAGATTTCACATTCTGAGGACGTGGGACAGCCTGTGGGGTGACGGGCACTGCTGCCAGCATCCGGGCTCGGGTGCGCTTCTGCCAAGACCGGGGCTGCAGCCTTTCGGTTATCTAGGAACGCGCCAACGTCAGGATCCCTATTATGGAATACACCGCTGCCAGGACCCTGTAGGAGAAGAGAGCACGGAGCCAGGGCGCCAGTGAAGGAGCACACCGCTGCCAGGACCTTGACGGAGGAGCGCGCGGCTGCGGGGACCCCGCCCCGCACGCGCGTCCCCGGCGTTGGCGTCGTCAGCGTCGTCCCGGTCCCCGTCCTCGTCTGTGGCCTGCTGTCGCTTTCCCTCTCCGGCCGCTTCC